TCTCTCTCTCTCTCAGCCCAACCCACCTTACAGGGTTGTTGTTGTAGGGAAAAATAAGAGGAGGAAAGCATAGTAAGTATGTTCACCGCCTTGAGTTGTTTATAAAAATAATAAAGGCGGGATATATCTGCTTTTCTATGCCCAACCAGGGAGCGGGAAGCACTTGCTCAGGACACCAGTAAGCCGGCAGATCAGATCTCAGGGATCTAGAGAGGTTGTGTGAAGGGCTCTTACCTTGTCAAAGGCCCATTTCTCATGCGTGTACTCAGCATACTTGTTGATGAAGGAGTCCAGCTTCTCTGGAATGATGACACTAAGGAAAGGAGAAAGAGAGAGGAGATTGGAGGGATGGCCAACGGATGGACCAGTCCTGATCCTGCTCTGTCACTGCAGGAGAGGGAAATTGGAAGGACGGGAAACTCATTGATGTCTTTCCAGATCTTTCCAGATCCACAAGGTTCTTTTCCAGTCCAAGAACACGATGCTCCCCTGAGGAAGAAGCAAATTTGGGACCTTGAACAGCAGGAGAACAAAATCAAGAGAGGAGGCAGGAATACCCAACCGGACCACAAACCAGGTGAGATTAAAAAAGCAGGTTTTTTTTTTGGTTTTTTTTACTAATACACAAAATACATATTTAGCTTTCTGGTTACAGTCACCCAAATTCATTATCCTTACCAATCCTGCTGTCTACGGTAGAAACTACAAAGCAGAGGGATGAGAATAACCTTTTAAGCATCTTGTTGAAAAACATAGCCGATCAAGGAATGTGAATGACAAGGTTGGTGGCACAGTGGTTAGAATGCAGTACTGCAGGCTACTTCTGCTGAATGCCGGCTGACTGCAATTTGGCAGTTCGAATCTCAGGCTCAAGGTTGACTCAGCCTTCCATCTTTTAGGGGTCGGTAAAATGAGGACCCAGATTGTTGCGGGGAAGAGGCTGTAAACCGCTTAAAGAGGGCTGTAAAGCACCGAAAAGCGGTATACAAGTCTAAGGGCTACTGCTATTTTCTCCTGTGAATCTCACTCACTTTAGTGTTTCCACAGGTTTGGGGTCAAAGTTGCCCTCGGCGTCCACCGAAGCCTTCTTTTCAGTTTTCGAAGAATAGCTGGCATCCACGTAATCAGGAGGAATGGCGCCAGCAATGGCACACAAGCAGGGCATGGCCAGCTTAAACAGATCGGAGTCAAATTTCTGAACAGGGGAAGAATGGGAAGACAGAAAAAGACGCTCAGTCAGGCAATACCATCTGTTGAAATGCTCCCTCTCACCAAGAATATTTCTGCTATTTTTCTTTTCAAAATTCCGCTATCATTTCCAGTAATGCTTCCCATCGGATGCCTGGAGCTCAACATTAATGGCCGAGAGATTGATGGCACCTAATTGTACAAAGGAAGGAAGTTTGCTTCCTAGAAGGAAGCAAACTTCAGACAACTTCCCTATGCTGACGGGGGAATTCTGGGAGTTGAAGTCCACAAGTCTTAAAGTTGCCACGGTTGGAGACCCCTGTTCTAGGTCACCGCAAACCCTATTTTTGGCTGACCCACAAAGCCCCTACAAGGATAAGCACGCTGCTCACCTTATGGGACAACGACTCAAAGATGCCCCAGAAGAGTTTCCGTGTCAGGTGAAGCTCCTCCTCCGAGCTGACCCCATAGTTGGCCCAACCAGTGGGAAGGCAATAATATTTCCAGCAACGCTCATAATGGTTGGTCAACAGCTGGATGGAGAATAGAAAAGGTAACATGTCATAAGCAGGAAGGATGTTTATGCCGTTTCCCTGAAAATACGACCTACCCTGAAAGTAAGTCCTAGCTTGATTTTTTTTACAAGAGTCTAATATAAGCCCTACCCCCAAAATAAGTCCTAATTAAGATCCCGCCCAGTCAAGAGTGGACGGGTAAAAATTAAGCTGCCCTACCACTTACCTTTGGATATTTGTAGCCAGGCCTCGCATACCCCGACACCTGCCTTGCCGGCCCATTTCTTCTGCAACCGGCAAGGCTGGCAAGGCTTTCCTGAAGGCCTCTGTAGCTGATAAGAAAGCTCCGGATCGATCCAGAGCTCTATTATGGGATGCAGAGGCCTTCAGGAAAGCCTTGCCAGCCGCAGAAGTTCTTGAAGGCCTCTGAGGGCAAAAAGGAGGCCGGGGGGTGCGGTGGGGCGACGTGCACAAGTCAGTGAATGACATCCCCCCTAAAATAAGACCTGGTACCTTTTTGGTGGCAAAAAAATATATAAGATAGGGTCTTATTTTCGGGGAAACAAGGACCAGACTGGGGAGGGCTACACCAGGCAGAGTGTCCCGTTTCATACGGTAATATGCACATATACAACCCATACAAAAAAATAATAATCTAACTTCACAGCAGCCAAGCATGGGATGTTGGCCTGCTGCGGCAATGCATTTGCTAATCCTTTACCTAATGTGGTTATACGGCAATGGTTTCTTACCTTGAGAGACATTTTGGCAAATTCATTAAGGATGGGCACATCAAACACCAGCCGGCGGAGAAGATGCTGGAGCATGGAGGGCCTTATATACCTAGAAGGGCAATCGGGGCAATGAGTAAGCAGAGCCAAAAGCGTATTTTACAAAAAAGAATGACGGGTTTCTCCTTTGGGCTGGTGATTCGGTTGCCTCCAGGTGATGCTACCGTAGGTCTAAATCAGAGGTGTCAAACTTGATTTCATGGAGGGCCGCATCAGGGGCTCTCGGGGGGGGGGGGGGCAGGTGAGCGTGGCTAGGGTGCGTGTGGCCAGCTCAATGTCACTCATATCGGGGAGGGGGCTTGTGGCGGCTCGAGCACTCGCGGCCTTCCCGAACTCCGTTTTCGCCGGCAGAGGCACCATGGGGCGGTCCTTTGCTGTCCCTTGGGCCAGATCTAAGCATCCCATGGGCTGGATCTGGGTCCCCGGCCTTGAGTTTGACAGCCCCTAGTCTAAATGGCAGAATTTCAAGTGATGGCCGCGTTACGTTGTTTTCCATCACTTCCTGTGTGTCTCTCTAAGATTTCCCCTTTTAAAAAAATATCCTTATTGGCTAAGGATGGGGGGAAAAAAAACAGAACGGGTTCCCAATTCCTTTTAAGTAGGAAAGTTTGGATCTGGAAAGAAGTTAAGGAGAAAGAGGGAGAGGAACTTGGAAGTCCTCATGTTCGAGGGCCAAGCTACACAGAAGAAGCTGCCAGGGTGCAGGAATGTCTGAGCTGATCCATAAACTTCTGATGCTTTGTCCGGCGTGAAAGACCAGGTCCACATGTGAAGGTCCAATCAAACTATTTTATTGCTAAAGGGTCTATGTATGTGAAACTTCTCAACTAATGGCTAGCATCTACCTGGTGTCAGATAAGGGTCAACAGAATTCAAGGGAGGTTGGGTTTAGTCCGCTTGTGACCACGTAGGGATTCTAGGCTGATTCCTCTTTTAATGCCGCCCCAGGTTCTACCACTCCTTCTACTACATTCTTCTCCTTACTTGCACAGCGCCATGAGGCACTCTTCAATGACGTCACGCTGGGCCTTGGTAAAAGAGCGACCGCGAGACAGCCGGTAGATGGTGTGCAGCATGGAGTCCACCATGATAGCCCGGTGCTCAGTGCCAGCAAAGAGAGGGGCGCATTTAGTGATGAGCGGCATCACAGCCAGGCAGAGGTAGCGGTTCATGGCCAGGGCCATTTCTGTGGTGCTAAAGGCTGCCTGTGGGGAACAGAAGCCATGAAGGACATTTGGTGGAGAGAGAAAGAGAGACAAGGCATGACCAAGGCACATCATGGCCCAATCCACCTTTTCAGAGTTGTCAGGTTAAAACCCTGGAAGAACAAAGAGCAATCCAACCAAGGTTCAGTTTTGTTTTGTTTTAAATTTCCTTGCATCCAACAGACAGAATCTTGCCAGACTAAATCCTATGAGTAGAGCTTGAATGTTGTCATGGTGATGATACCATCCTGTCCCCAAGCTACTTACCGTGTCCAAGGAGGCTGCAGCTCTCATGTCAGGCAGAAAACCCACTTCCAGGACATGGAGGAGGAAGTCCTGGTTGTCGATGCCGTACACACGGTCCAGAAACAACACCATGGGTGACTTGTGGTCAGGCACAAAGCTGGCGGACATCTTGGGTTCAATGACGCTGCCATCTAGAGCGGGAAGGGCAGATTATAAATCAAGAGGAGATGGAAATGAGGGTAGCAGCTTTAAAGAGGAGGGAAAGGCAGACTTTCCAAGGAGTGAAGGTCAAATGGTATCAAACACAAAATACAGGAGAAGAACAGGCAGAGCTGGGGAGCAGAGTTAAGTGTGCCATTAGCTTAGAGTCATTACGTTGCCACAAACAAGTCAAAAATCCAACCCCTCTTGAATTCCACTGACACTTGTCTAGCGCCAATTTACCACTGAACTTCAGTTGATCAGATTCTTGTGTATAGATTTGAGCAATAAATCTTACGAACTGCCACTCAGTGTACGGCCCTGATCCTTTGCGCCTGACGGGAATCTAGTCGACTAAAGTTCAATACTTCATTGGCACCAGATATGGGTCAGTGGAATTCCAGAGGGGTTGGACTTGCAGCGCTTGTGAGAATGTAACGACTCTTAAGTGGTAACACACTGAACTGAGTCCTCCAGCTCGGCCCGCTCTTTTCCTACACAATCAACCCGTGGGATAGGCTGAAACAGGCATTTTATTGCTGATCGCCTACATTACAAGAATCTTCCCAGCTTTTGCTTGGGAAACGGCAGATATATAGACCTAAGACTTTGATCTTTGATGTTTCATGCCCACGTGGACTCTATGCTGGAATCTCTCTTCACTCCACCTAGTAGGGCACCTCCCCTTCAGCCGACGGTTCCACCATAAATGGGCAGTAGATACCAAGATGAACTAAGTCTAGGAGCGGGAAGTAGAACCTCCTAGGGATACTTTGCTGCCCAAAGGGCCACCGTACCTTTGCCAAACGAAGGGATCTGCAGCGGGAGGCTGATGACTCCAACCAGGTCCTCGATGGGCACTAAGGAACGCAAGATGGCTCTGATCCGGAGGGCTTCCCCCTTCCCAGCTTGGATGAGCTGCTCAGAGAGTGTTAGGTATAACATTGATACCAAATATGGTTTGGGTGAATAAATATATAAAACTTAGATATCATGGTTTAAGTGCTTATCACTTTAAGCACAATGCAGCAGGCAATTAGCCGATTAAGGGTGCGGTTAAAAGTTACAATATAAGGAAGCATTAGAAGCAGGAAAGCTTACTGTCTGTAACTGGCTGTAACTGACTGTAACTGTGTGCTGCTGCGACTAACTGTGATTACTAACTGTGAGTGCCTGTGACTGAACTGTTATTGTTTGCTACTGTTTGCTGAATATCCAGCGTTTGTTTCTCTGGAGAGTGAAACCGGAGGAGGAGAAGATATCTTTATCGGCTGATAAAGATATTGCAAGGACTCTTAACTTGGACTATACTAGTGAGTCTTACTGGATGGAAATACTGTGAATGACTTAATGGACTGAATGACAATGCTTAAACTCTAAATGGATTAAAAACTATTTAAACTACAAACAGTGTTTGTGTTCAGTGTGTGTATACTCTGGGGCCCTTCCGCTCTCCTTTGGTTGCCTGGCTTGACTACTGCTGCAATACTCTTCTAGGGGTTAATTATCCCCAAACCCTAACATTGGTTATGGGCCCAGCAGCATAGTCTAACTAACCAGGATATAGCAGAGAGAGTTGGTGTGAGTTGCACATTACTGTAAAAAACAAACTGTTTTAATTAGTTTAAAATAGTCAAAATATCTGAAGAGCAATGGCACAAGTAAATTTGTCACAACTGTCCATGATATCCAGGCTGGATGGAACAAACTATGTTTCATGGTCAATGAAATGTAGTTTACTTCTACGCAGAGAAGGTTTGTGGGACATTATAGCAAACCCACCAGATGTGAGTAGCTGGGATCCTGCTAATGATGATGATAACGAAAAGTTACAAGACTTTAAACTGAAGAATGAGCAGGCTTTATGCATCATAGGACTGACTCTCTGTGATCAGCAGCTTGTCCATATTCGTGGAGAAGAAAATGCTGCAAACTGCTGGGAGAACCTCAGGAAGATTTATGTTCGGGACAGTGTAGGAGCACATATAAAT